ATTATTATTTTTTGTTTTATCTGATTTTTCTTTCTAATTGTTGTTGTCCTGAACTTTCTCTCTAAGGTGTTCACTATTATTATTTTTGTCTGATTTTCTTTCTAAATGTTGTTTGCATTCTCTGCTCTATCTCTCACCGATAAGCTAAGTAAGTGTGGCCTATGTTCTGTATTCACAATGACGTAATTACTCTTCACGTAAGCTTTTTTGTCTCTTTCCATGTTGATCTCATCGATGGCTAGACATCGACATTACGAAAACAATATAATAAAGTTTTTGCATCAACTCCAACCATAATTAATTCGAATCTCTTAATTGGGACTTTTAGTTCCGACTAATAAACAGTTATTAACTTTTTTTTTTAGATTTTAACTAAGAAAATTAAGAACTATCTCTTAAATAAAAGATATAAAAAACGACTCTAAATAAAAAATGTAAAAAAAATAAAAAAAATATAAAAAATATCAAATCATAAATTAAGAATCTCGGCTAAGTGACCGGGGTTAATCATACCCTAAGAAAACAACGACACCTTCGGCCTTACTTCAAGTCTTTCTGCAATATCAATCTAAGCTCTCTCTATTGGCTATTTGTGCAGCTACTTTTAGATTTCTTGTTGGGACATTTAACCACCTAACCAAGAAAAATGTCCAAATATGTTACCTATATAACCAATAAAAATTTAAGATGGTGACAAATTAGGTGTGTGCGATGCCGTTTTTGCCTCTACTTTAAAGTGGATCTCCCTGGAAATGGGTGGAAGTTTGGGTTAGAGATCCACATACGATTATCAGAATGCAAAAGAAACATGGTCTCCTGCTTCACATGATAGTTGCATAACTTTCATTTCGGGTCTACTTGAAAACCCTCGTTGAATCATCATCTTTTGTTGGGTTACGATTTAGCAAGCACAATATAAACATGTGTCTTTATTTTTCTGAACACCCCAGGATACGATATAAACATGTGTCTAAGTATGCATTTTCCACACAATCGTATGGCCAGAGAACTTTCTACGGCATGCATCTTGATTTCTCAAGATTAGTGCTGTCACAATAAACATGTCAGAGGCAGTGCTGAGTGTTACATAACATGTCACAGGCAGCATCTCCAATACATATACCATCCAGGTTGATCATTAAGGTTTAACGTGATTGTGTTGTGGTGTTGATTGTGGAGTCGTGGACACTATTATTACGGATCTGAAGTTTATCAAAATTTGTTAAAACCCTAGCAAATATGTCTAGGAAACAACAGAATAGAGAAACTACAAAAATAGACTAGCCATTGTTTGGCATAAGCACACATGGTCACAGACTAGGAATCTTTATTATATAACATATGTAATAAACAACATAATGATAAGACCCATAAGTCTCTCCGCAGGCGTGGGAGTGTAGATAACACTATCTTGCGGAGGAGCTGGTGGTGGTGGTGGTAGTGATGGTGTGAGAGAGAGGGAGCCATGCGGCTGAGTAAATGGGTAGAAAAGATGAGAGTGGAACTCATCTTCTTCGCGGATAGGATGATGGTGAAGCCAAGACGCCATTTCGTCTTCACGTATGAAAAGATTCTGATCATGAGACGGTTGCAGTAGAGAGGTTGAAGCGAAAGCGGAGCATTTTCTTCTTGGCCGCCGCCGCTACCACTACCGCTGCCTCGGAGAATGGGAGGAAGAAGAGGTGGTCTCTGTGCCTGGCTGTTTTTTGTCTATAGGTAGTTTCTTGGAGCTTTATGGCACTTGGCAGGCTAAACCAGAAGTGAAACCAGGACAACAATTTTTTATCTTATTTTTTTAATGTCAAAATGTTTTGTTATATATAATATTTGTTTTTCTTTTTGGGCAAAAAAAAAAAACAAATATTATATATAACAAAACATTTTGACATTAAAAGGGGGGTAAGATACATAAATAGTTTCACAAGTATCCAATATGAGTTTCTGGTCTACTCTCATGAGGGTTTTGTATCTTTATGTCTTAAGATATGAATCAGCTCTGTTCCCGACTTCGGAAGTGAGTATCTCTGTGCTTGCTATGACGTTTGCTATATTCACAATTACGTCGTCCCTCTACACGTAAGCCCTTTTTGTCTCTGTAATTTGTTTTTTTTTCATGGGTCCACATTGGACATAAAATTATCTATATTTTCATATGGGAACAAGCAAGCTAGTAGTATTCTTCTAAAACCATGGATTTGAGAAAACCACTATATCCAAGAGAAGAATCCGGAGGATTGAATATTGGATCTAGAGGAATATTCTGTCAATGAAAAAAATGAGATTCTTATATCAACTGTAGTAAATACCTAATTTGCTTCTCTATTTATAACTCATTGAACTGAGATTCTTGTTTTGTTTTAGCTTTAGGTTTAGGTTTTTGTTTAGTCCATTAAATAGTTGCTTTATTCTCTTATAGAATGTAAAACCATTGATTTGCATAAGTTTTTTAACACTTCTACGATATATATGTTTCCAAATAGAGAAAATATCAGTGGAAATTAAAAGAGGAACTACTATTTTTGACATTTCTTTTTACTATCCCACAGAATACTCGTTTGCTTCATATGAGAATCTTTAATTTGCAAAACAAAAAAAAAATCAGAAAATTTCTAAGCTCCATTTTTATGTTGATAATGAATGATATTCTCATTTAACAAAATGATAGAAAAAAATATTCAAAGACTTTCATGTCAACAAATTGGAAGTATGACAAAATTGGTTATTTGTGCGTAAAACTTTATGTTATTGGAGAGTTTGGAGAAAATCAAAGAAGGCATCATGGATCTAATTGAACAACCGGAAGATGAAAATCATAGTTGTTCTTTGAGAATGAATTTTCTCCTACACAGAAAGAACTCATACTGCAACGAGATATATATATATAGTTTTCAAGTAATGAACTTGAGATTTTTCTATTTGTAGTTCTTTTCAGATTTTCAATAATCTTTTTTTTTTCTTTGTAAAAAGCTTTTCAATAATCTTACAGTTACTAGTTTTCCATATATTCAAAGAATCAACTATAAAGCAAGTAGTATATCCATGTTTCAACAATTTATCACATAATAACTAGACTGTGTGCCAAATTGTTTCTCATCAAAATAATGAATTGTCATGCATGATTCTTTCTCCCTTGTTTACCATATTTACTTTAAAAATTTGTGACAAAAATCAAGACAATATTTAAAATCAGGTTTATATATTGGTTGAAAGTTCATAACAAAAAAAAAAACAAAAACAAAAACCAAAAAAAAAAAAAGCTGGTAAAGGGAATATAGTATGTACCGTTTTACCATAAAATAAAAAATTATGGATAGTTAGAAACTTCGCAACAAAGGAACGAAACAGGGGAAAAAAACATTTGTGGTTGAGGTTTCTCTAGTTTACTCAGAAATTTAAGAGAACAAAGAAGAATACTGCAGAATCTGAAATTTTGATAAGGGTTTAGATCAGAATCGTTAAATATATTTTCTCTCTCTCTAAGGTTTTCATTATTATTAATTTTTTATTTTGTCCGATTCTCTTTTCAAATCTTGTTTGCTTCAGGATAATAAGCCCTATATTCTAAAAGCTAAGTGTATGTGTGTGCTATGACATTTTTTTGCCATCACAATGACGTAATCACTCTTTACGTAAACACTATATCGTTTTCTTCCTTTTCCTTTTATATTTCTTTGTCTCTTTCCATGTTGATCTGAGTCATCTGACTGATGGCTACACGTCGACATAAACAAAAGCATCCAAAAAAAACAAATGTAATATTTGAGGTTTTTGTATCAACCTAAGGAAACAATACCGAATACCTTCGGTCTTACGCCCATTCTTTCTGCAATATCAATCTTCAGATGTCAGCTCTTTCTGCAGTGACTTTTCGTTTTTTTGTTGGGACACTTAACAACCTAGCGAAGAAATGTCCAAATACTTCACTAACAAACGAAAATTTAAGAGGGTGACAAATTAGGTGTGTAGTGTATGATGCCGCTTTTGCCCCTAGTTTAGTGTGAATCTCGCTGGAAGTAGATGGAAGTTTGAGTTTGTCCACATATTATATTATCAGGATGCATAAAGAACACATGGTCTTGGCTTCACATGATAGTTGCACACCATATAGTTCAGGTCTACTTGAAAACCCATCATTATGTCTTTTGTTGGGTTAAGATTTAGCATGAGTAACAAGCACAATATATATAAACATGTATCTAAGTATGCATTTTCCAACACAATCATATGGCCAGAGAACTTTCTACGATATGTACATTTTGATTCCTCCATGCTCCATGTTAGTTCTGTCACACTAAAACCTGTCACAGGCAACCTCTCCAATATATGCACCATTGTTTGGCATAAGCATATGCATGGACACAGACTCAGAAAACTTTTTTTTTTTTTGACAATCTTTTATTATATATGAAAAGTTGGAAAATTAATAAACAACATAAGGATAATTAAGTAGTAATAAAAAATCAAATAGATATATTTAAATTACATTTGCATACTGGACATCGTGTTTTATGTATACTGAAAAGATTGCTTCCTTGATTATATTCTGGAATCTAACTCCATGATCGTGCTAAGGTTCATGGGATTCATGTACTCAACCGAACCAGTCATGATCTGTTGGACGATGAGTCGGGTAGCTTTCTCAGTCGGATGGAAAGGGTCCCAAAATGCATATGCGTTACGGTCAGGACATAAGCTCGACAACGGGGTGCAAACACCTTGTCCGTTGTATGCTCCTTGTCCGCAACACGCTACCTTGGACGTCACGAAACCTATGAAAATTTTGATCAAGTTAGGTCTTTTTTTTGGGCAAAGTTAGGTCAGAAAAGTAATTTTTGGCTATTCCAAAAGTTATTAATTTCAAAACCATTGAAGGAGTGTTCACCAAATCTCTGGGGATTTTTTATGAAATCTGCATTCATATTGAACGCATTAGCCCCAATGAAAACATCAGAACCGATTTGACGGTTAAGTCCTTGAAGCATTTGATCCAAAAGCGGATTAAATATCGCTGCAGCCTGTTGTGCCTCGGGTGCACATTCTCCGTTTGCACTGCCAGATGAAGCAAGCTCGGCCGGTACGCAACCCAACGGTCCTGTTCCCGTAACCATTACCCTCCTTGCTCCCAGCTCATACAGTCTCTGAATCACCAAACAAGAGTCAAAAGCATAAGAATATACAATGATACCCTAAGACTAGCGTCTAACCCAAGAAATACCATGAGTATTTTCTTGTATTCGGAGATGAGAAGCTGGCTAAATTCGCTGAGAGATGATTGTCGACCTCTAGCAGAGAATGGCAAGAAGTAGTTGTTGACGAAATCGTTTCCACCAAGAGTCATGAGGATTAGAGCTCCATTTACAAGCTGTTGTGTTTTGTCTGAACCTATAATCTCACTCACTCTCTCTTGATATTCTTGGAACAGCTCGAATTGCCTACCGATCCTTAGTATGTTCAACTACATTATTTATATATCCACATCAAGTATTAGACTTGGTCAAAATAGTGTTCGTCTTTTATTGTCTCAAGAGGAAAAACAAGTAAGCATTTCAACTCTAAAAAATATACACATTGGAAGAAAGAAAATGTTTCTTTTTATGGATGCAACTCGGGTTTAATGTTTCTAAGATCGAAAAAAGACTTAAACCGATTTAGTTCAAAAGGAAGAAAGAAAAAACTAAAATCGGATTAATGGATCACATGATCAAATTGGTAGGAGGAATGTCCCTTTTGGGTTATCAAACATAAGCAGAACTATAAGAGACCTGAAATCATCTGAATATATCTTTGAGTTGAATGGGAACTACTTTTAGTTTAATTCTCTACATTTTTATTTTTATTTTTATTGAATCTAATACTGTTTGAACAAAATTAATCATACTTCATATTAATTACTTCTCGAAAAAACTATTCAGCTAGTACCATCATGTAACTATGAAACAGATTTTTGTCTTAAGCCCATAATACTTTACTAAAATGAAATTAAGAGATTATTTTCGATAGAATAATGTGATAGATGACTCAAAATGTCCCTTTGTAATTAAAAGTAAGCAGAACTGTATGAGATTTGACTATCTGAAATATATTTTTAATTAGAAAGGAACTATTTTTATTTCCATTCTCTACATTTCTCTTTTATTATATCTTTAATAATGTTTGAACAAAACTAACCATATATTGAATCTTTATTTTTCAGGAAAAATATTCAGCTAATACCACCATGAAATAATGTCCCCTGAAATAATACTATGAAACGAGTTTTGTCTTCAGCCCATAACACTAGATTTAAAAATGAAATTAAGAGATTATTTCGATGACTTACAAACTGAACACCGGTGTCGTTGAGAATTCCGATGCCGGCAGAGGCAAAATTAGCTCCGATCAATAGCTTCTCTCCGGTGAGCTCAGGGCTAAGGATTGGTAATGTTGGCTCAGATCCAATTTGCTCACCTAAAACCAAAGCAAAACTACTCTTAATAGCTCTAAAATATTGAAATAAAAAATGGGAATAATACAAATTCAAATATGGTGTCATACTGATGATGTCAGGGAGGTTTAAGCCGTTGGAGAAACGACCCGTTGCACGACCAGTGGGATAATCGATTCCGTACGGAGGAGAGTCGGCACGAGCGGTGGTGACTAAGTAATTGTTATTACCACTGTCCACGAGTGAGTCGCCAAAGACGAAGAACGCTCGAGCTGCATTTGTTTGTTGCGGCACAAAAAATAGCGTTACGCATAACGATGTTAGGAGAAGGGTGGACATGATATTAAAGCAAAAGCCTATGGTTATACTTTTTGATTATGAAAGGTTTAAAAGGAGATTAGCCTCTTCGCTCTGTTATATACAACTGAAATTTGTATTAATGGTTAACCTTTTTTGGTGAATGTAATAAATGCTATGTTGTTGTCGGTTGGCCTACGTATGTAGTAGGACAAAACAAAGCTGTTCTAATTTAAAACAATGTAAAATGCAATTAACTCAATAGGTAAGAAAATATATTGATTTACTGTTGTATTCGATTAATTAAGTTCGAATCCAATACTTTCGTTTGGAGGTAGATAAATCATGCTCTGTTGAACAAATCACGTATATTATGAAAGGATGATCTTGAATTATAAAGAAACAACTTTATGGTTTTTAAGAAAAGTCAACCATTTAAAACGTATATATATGGATCTAGCAAACACAAACTACACCTCGTGTTGTACGAGTCTTGTTTCTAAACACGTAAATGGTTATAGCCAACAATTTTATATGAATGTCAAATTAAAGTCACAGATCTTTAGTTATAACATGGATCAATCATACACTTAATTATCTTAGACCTAACCAGAACTGAAGTCCGATCAAACCAAAAACATAGCTAGGTCCAAAATAATAAATGATTAGCTGGCATCAAAAGTATCCGACCACAAATTTTGATATTGAGTACATAACATGATGAATAAAACATAAAAGTCTTCAACCAATGTATGAATAATGCTGGCATTATTGTTAACCATATATACTTCTTTTTAATCCACACATACACATATACCTAAAACAATATCTTACCACGTTGTATAGTAAATCCTAAAGGATTACATATATCACAGAGCAGGTAACTTATTTATTAATAGTATTATCTTACATTTTATTAGTTTTAACTATGTATAGTCCTTTTTTTTTTTTTGAAAATGAGGCATGATCCACTGATAATTACTTAATACGTCCAACTGTTTCTTCATGTGAGATAGATATCAGGATACATGTATAATAATAATAATCGTATAACAATTGGTTCGGAGCTGCATCAGATTTTAGCAATAAATAAATAAATCGGTTTGAAGCTATATAAACGTAATAAAGGTAACGATATAGAAGAAAAAACAACAGCTCAGATGAAGAAATGACATATATCTGAATCTGGTTGATGGAGAAAGTGTCTTTATTAAAGAGGTTAAAATGTCCATTTCTGCGGTTTTTCACAAGAATCAAGATTCTACTAAACATGTTTATCCATGTTGTAAGACTGGCTATATGGATTACAAAAAAAAAGAGTTTTATCACAAGAAAAAAAATAATCAAAGAGAGCTAACCGGTCCCAGTTAAATGCCAGTTTGCAAACATAACATTTTGTATAATCAAAGTCAGTAAATAAAAAGAGAGAGAGAAAGAGGAAAGACTGAAAGGTCGTATGTTGGTTATAAGTAGTTGGCTATCTTTTTCAGTCATCTACATTCACATGCACATTTAACTCCTGTCATCATCATCTTACCATTTTCATCGCAATACAAAACATCATATATAAGCTGTACCTTCAGCTTTGTATCACTTGAATCTAACAGTCCCCACGTAGTGGGGAACTTGAACTACTGATGTGGGAAGTCTCACCATAGTTGTAATTTTGTTCTACAAAATCAAGTCTCTCCATGACTGTAGCCCAACTGATAACAGGCCGTGTTACTATAGCCCGTTTAGTTTGCTCGGCCTCATTACATTCAACAGTTTCAGCTTCAAATCTTACGTCTGAGTCTCTGACACTAACCGTGACCGTACCTCATCGCCGCTCCGGATTCCTCCCGGTAATCTAGAACCTTTCTCATCCTAAGGCCACCCGTATTGGAGGGTTTTAATGGGGTTCATAGAGAGAATATGCACGTTTCCCGAGGAACCCATCTCCTCTCACCTCTTCGGTATGAACCGGGTTCGCTGACGTCATGATGATGTCATGGGGGAGCCACGACACGTGGCGGCTCCCCATTGGTCCAATTTTTTTTTTTTTTGAAAATGTAAACGAAAAAAATAAAATTAAAAATTAAAAAAAAACAGGTGGCGAACCCACCTCGGTATCACTGATGCAAGTGCTCTAAAGCTGAGAAATTAATAAAAATTATAAATTAATAAATTTTATTAATCCTAAATTGGATCAATGTAAAATATGACATAATTTGATAAAATATTTTTTTTTAATTTTGTAGTATATAAATATATAGTCTTAATATAAACATAAACTAATAATAAATATTGATAAAATTTATATAAATATAATCAACATATTACATATTTGATTTTTTTTTTAGTGAACTTTTTTATAATGAAATTTCTCTTTACTTTTTCTTATTATTTATAAATACATTGATGTTATTTTTTCTTTTTACATATAAAATGAATTTACATTTATAGCATTAGCCAAATAATTGAATAAGAACAACATACATTTTATATCAATAACATTTAATCAATAAATAATCTAAAAGATAAATTTTTGAATTAATAACTCTATAAATTAATAAAAATATCAAATTCCTAACATTGTTAATTTATTAAAAATTACTGTATTTGATATTTCTAATATTTTTTCACAATATATATTTGCTTTTATCTATTAATACTTTTGAATTTAACTTTTAATTAGTTTCAATTTATTTGTTCCCAATAAGATTTAACCACTTATATTTTACATTTTGATTTATATTTTACTTTTAAAGCAAAATGTATTAATTAAAGGTAGACCATCAAAATTTTGTATGCAGGAAAAACTATAACATCATACATATTTTATACAAAGGGAGTATTAAACAATAATAAAATTGATAAAATAATACAAAGGTGTGACACTATATAATTTAATTTTTTTATTTAAAAACAACCAAATAATACGATCATTATTTATAATTAGTAAAAGCTTCGGATCCTATCCGACAAAACAGCATTATACCTTTTAACTTTTGCCAGCAAATCAATAACAAAGCTGTTTTGTCATCGAAATCGCTTCATCAGAATTTTCGTTCTGCTTTTGATCTCTCTGTTAAGAAGGAAAAAATGCGACACAACTGCTGCCACCTCTCCTTCGCTTCCATCCTCAAGATCCTCAATTTCCTCCAAGCCTTCATCGGCATCTCCATCATCATCTACTCTATATGGATGCTCGACCAATACAATCGCCACGTCCCCGTCGATCCTCCTCCTTCTCAGCCTCCCACGGCTTCTTCTCCGGACTCTTTTTCAGGAATCGAGATCAGAAGTGTTTCTGAGTCCTTGAAGAGACCCATCACTTTCGTGTCGGGTCTCGTCCTCGGAGATTCGGGTTTCAACCTCCGTGCCCTAGATCTTCCTGCTCCATGGTATAGTACTCTTTTTTTTACAATAAAGTTTCCATTTTTAGGGTTTTCGATTCAATCTGTTTGCAAGTTTTGATAAAGGTCAAAGCTTTAAATGCATGATGATGTGTTTTTGGTGTTACATTAGGATAAAGTTAAGACACAGATTAATGTTTCAGTGAATCGATTTGGTTTGGTTTTAAATTTTAATTTGCAGGTTCATCTACTCTTTCATGGCGATTGGGATTTTGGTCTGTATTGTCACTGTCATTGGTTTCATTGCAGCTGAAGCTATCAATGGCTGCTGCTTGTGTTTCGTATCCTTTTATATATATATATATATATATATTCATTTGCTTCTTATTCAGTAATGTGAAAAGTATTAGGAAGTTTAATCCTTGACATGTCTGTCTTTAGTATTCGATCCTCAAAACCCTTCTCATCATACTTGAAGCAGCTCTTGTTGGATACATAGCGATTGATCGTCAGTGGGAGAAGGTGAGGTGTACTTCTTCACATTTTGAAATCTTGTATCTTGCGTCTTGCTGTGTTAAAACGGTCTAGACTTGTGTCTCTTTTAGGATCTTCCCTATGATCCAACTGGAGAACTCACTAGCCTTCGAGCTTTCATTGAAGCAAACATCGATATTTGCAAATGGGTTGGTGTTGGTGTGGTAGCTATACAGGTAACTAACTAGCCCGGTTCTTGCCTTTCCCACATTTGAGTTATGTTATGTCTCTCTAGATCACTTTGTTTGTGGTGTTTCAGCTACTGTCCTTGCTTCTGGCTATGGTTCTGAGAGCTATGGTTTCTCCTAGACAATCAGAGCTTGACGATGAGGATGATTACGAGAATCCGATTAATAGAGCACGGGAGAATCTTCTTGCTCCACAGCCTAACCAGACATCTTCTGGATCAAGCAATATTGACAACTGGAGGTCCCGTATCAGAGAGAAGGTAAATAAAACACTTAATCTCTTGAACTTAGTACTTTAAGCTTGTGATTGATCGTCTTTCATTCTTCTGCAGTACGGATTGAACAATGGTCAAAACCAGAGTCCATCAGTTTAATACAAAAGAATTGCTTCGTGTGTCTGGAATCACTACTTTCGTTTTTGTTCCTCTCTTGCAATCGTTGTAACTTTCGAGTGTGCATAAGCATTACACAACTGTCATTGTTTGATGTTTCTTCTGTTTAGATTGGAACATTGGTTTCCTTGTGGTTTGTTTGCACAAAAGCGTAACGAGATTTGTGTTTAAAATGGGAACAAGTGATTATTGCCCTGCTTTAACAATGGTTACATTACATAGCATGTTGTTTTCACTTTCAGTCGTTACAACAAAAAAAAATCGAGACACAAATCTTCCCACAAGACAGAACTACACTTATCTTACATTTTTATTTCAATGTAGTAGTACTATGTTCTCTCATCTCATCGTGTAAGATCGAGAACGGCTTCCTCTATTAGCTCTTGCAACAATGCCTTTTCGATACCAATCCCAAGTTCGTCTATTTCAACTTGAAAGCTATGAATCCATTTCCTCCCAACAATCTCCTCTTTAACTAGACTCTCTGCAGCCGCACTGTTTGCGTCCATGTCCTCTACATAGTCACGCTTGCTAGGCTCATCTGAAAGCCAGTCCTTTACCTGGGACCAGACATGCTCCACCAAGTCCAAAGGCGGAGAATAATTGCCCATGGGTGTGGTCGTTGTTTCTGAAACGATGGAGTTAATGCTGTCAAAAATGAGCTTACGAGTTGACCTGTGTTGTCTGCGTTTCCCTTCGTTAACAAACTCCCTGATGTTGTTGTTATCTAGGTTGGTGTATTTCTCTCTGAGTGAAGGGTCTAAGGGACTGTTTGGCACGTGCCACCGCGACATGAGATTGTCATAATAGACGGTGTTGCTGAAACCAGCAGCTGTCAGTATCGTTTCTATGAATAAGAACCAGTCTTCATCCTCATGGACTCCTATTGCAGGTTTAGATATGTTGTCTGTGCAAGAGTCATCATCCCATGAGAGGATCCGAGCAATTGACCCGATTGGTGGTGATTTGTCAATTAGATTAGATTTAAGAGACACTTCCTCTCCTGTTGAGAATACAACATTTGGATGGATAAGTGTTAGAGAAGAGCTGAGTAACAAAAGCTCTGAAATAAAAGCTAAGCAACTAGAGAACATACCTTGAGTTGTCCATAGCTTGCTTGAAGTGGAACATTCTGGAGTGCTTACACCTTCCTCTTCAAAAGGAGGAAACAAAACAGAAATTGGACTGAGCTCGTCCTGTTTCTCACTTGTATTCCCAGCCTCTAGAGGCCTCGGTGTAGTCAGTTCCTCCTGCAAACAAATCAAAATGGCTGCTGATTTAAGCATGAATGTTCAATATCAACAATGACTCTTCGAGGTTAAAGAATTGGCCAAATACCTCGCCTGAGATTACACTTTGCTGTTGTGATGCATCAGGTGGGAGACAATGTTCGCTAGGAAGAGTCACAGAAGAAGGCGTTGCTAACTGAGACATACCACTGTGCTGAGATACATCTCTCTTCTCCTTGCTTGCTTTCTTGTTCTTGAATGAGAACAAGTTAGAAACTTTCCATGATGATTTTAAGCTTCCCGTCTCAGTGAGCTCTTGTGGGTACTGTGCTTTAGAAGTCCTTAAAACAGATGTTTCTCCATTAAGCCTAACGTCAGAGACTGATTTTGACCTTGCAAGGATATTCAGAGAGTCACCAGCCATTTCCACTTGATTCAGATGAGTGTTTATGCATGACGTTGATACCCTTGTCTCTGGTACTATTTCATCACTATCCTCGTAGGATCCAGTTATCACTTTGGTCTCTGAGAGTGAAAGCATTTCACCTAAGGTGCTTGAGTTTCTTGGCAAGTGTTTATACGGCTGAGTGCTTCTGGTTACTGACATCAACGCCCATCTTTCAGAGAGTCGCTTCTTTGCCTCTCTGCAGACAGATGACTCCGGAGAAAATGAAGCTCGGCTGAAAGAGGAAGGAGAGAAAGGACTTTCAAACCTATTTGGACAGTCCCATGAATGTCTAGTAGCTGGTGACATTATCTCAGAATCACTAAGGTTTCCTACTAGATCTTCGTTATCAGATTTGTTAAACGAACTGTCATCACCATTATAACCATTGGACAAGACGGAAGAACATTGTGTCTCATTCCTGCGGTGACACATCAGATTTTCCCGCACTTGTAACATTATTTCCTTTGCCACTTCTTTAGACTGATCAACATCTCCAGACTCATCAAAATAGCCTTCACTGTGTACACCCCTAGGAGTGGATGGAGATGATGAAACAGCTTTAGGCTTCCCTAGACTAGGCTTCAAGACGACAATACGTGTTGGTTGTACAGGTCTTTCTTGACTTGATGATGAAGCCATTTTCTTAACCTGCTTGTTCTTCCTCCCTTGAACCACAAATCTCTCAGTTTCAATAGCCTTTGAAGGTCTCAACACTGTGATGCGTTTCGCCTCTGACTGAGAAGGAACACCAGTCTGAGAGTCTGAAAGTTGCTGAGAGAAAGAATTTGATTCCTGGAGCAACTTAACAAACAAATCCTTGTGGGAGCTTAAAACTTCAAGTGCTTCTTGGAACTCTTTGGATTGGTGAAGACTGTCATCAGTAACAAGGCGTTTTGCTTCTGCAAACTTTTGACGAACAAGTTTCTCAGTTGCATTTTCATCATATCTTCCTTTTCTAGGCGAGCTATCCCTTGAACGACTCATCTTCTGAGGCGACTGCCACGTTTCATACACATCTTTATATTCTCTGCTGAGGTCCTGATACATTTGGACCTCAACATCCATAGAAGTCACTGGATGATTCGGAGAAGAGTGTGAATAGCTTCTGGATTTGCTTCGCTGTGTAACAGTCTGGGGAAGTGTCTCCAAACCCATCAACTTCGCAACCACATTAGTAGGGCTCTGTTTAGGTTCGACCTCTTTTGACATTTCTCGAGCAATGAGCTTTTTCATTGGTGTACCACTTGCTTTGCTAGAAGCATTTCTCCTTAAATCAGACATAATCTGCGCAAATAGTGAAGGCAAGAAACATCAAATTATGCCAATAAGGACAATGACAAAGTTTCAGCCAAATATTACCATTTCAGCTTCTGAATGGCCTTTATAGGAGGGGCTTGGCATTCGAGATACATCAGATCGGCTCCTTGACAGAGAGGATCCTGCAAACAAACTACCTCGTGTTAATAACACACAGGTGCATATAAAACTCAAACAGAGATCAAGACTAAAGATTATAGGACACTAAACTTAATGCAGGAACATGTTACAACAAATAACACAGTTAAGTCCTTGAGTTAAAATTAAGTTGTACTAGTGAAGAAACAAGTCGCAGAGGGAATTGAATCATTACCATCACGATGAGGTTTATCAGTAAGCATCTTGTTCCCATTAACAGCTGTTCCGAGATCAAATAGGTTTACCATCCTCCCTAAGCATCCTGGAACTGGACTTTCAATCTTCTGAACCTTTCTGCCTCGGAGCTCATTCATTTTAGTCCCTGCAGTTTCAAAGCTTTTAGTTACTATAAAAGGTTGATATTGGCTTGGAAGCAAAAAAAAAAAAAAGACATCTGAAGGCTTCAAATGAAAACAGGTTTTGCTGCAATTGGAACAATACAGAGAGGTATAAGATACTAAAACTTAAACCTAAAAGATCCTAGAAAAAGGAGGAGAGTTAAGAAGAATAAGCCAAAGCATAACAAAACAAGAGTTTGGTAAGAACAAAGAAAGAGGAAGAATAAGATTCTGTAATCACAGGGACACTTCATAGAGTCTGAACAAAAAGGAAAGAAGAACCAATTACCATTCACATGACATATCACAATCAAAGACAGTCACTTTTGTTGTACTCTATGAACAAAACTCGTTTAAGTGAAAAGATAAATTACAAATCAACCTTAAGCTCACTGCTTTGTGAACAATTCAAAAGGAAACGAGTCCTCAGGTACACTGGATCTGAAATTAACCAGATTGCAGGAATCAGTTTGTAGATCAAAGAACTCTCTAGTAATCTCTATGAACTCTCATCTCATGACATATATAGATAGACACACAAAAATGTGTCCCACCACCCCAGAAAGAAGTCACAAGCAGAGTAATAAATGCGACAACTTTTACCAAAAACAAGCAAATCGACAAACAGAGGAAAAGTAAAAACAAAACAATCTAAGAAACTGTAATTTTTTTTCGCTGCAGGACAGATAAGGGAGAGAGGGAAAAGAAGAAGAAGCTAATCGGTGCAGAGAAGAAAAAGGTAAAGATCAGAAGAATCTATTTCTAGTAAGAAGAGATCAAAGCAAAAATGTGAAGAAAAAAAGAGAGAAAGCTTTGGAAAGTGAGATCAGAAGAAGGTAATGACTTTTTTCAGCTTTTTAAAAAAACTCTAGGAAGAAGAGTAGACCTGTTAGCTGGGATACGTCAGAAACTTAGCCGGAGATGAAGATAGATGTAAGCCAAATCTGCTTATCTCTCTTTCTCTGAGTATCTCTCTTCCTTCAACACGCGCTCACCGAGTGGGAAAGAGAGAAGGGGAGAGTTTAATAAAAAAGAGTTTCTTTACGGAATCTCAAGTACAGACAAAACATATGAAGAGAGAGAGATGGAGAGAAGAAGAAGCGAGGAAGAAAAGAAAATGCTACTCTGTACTCTCTTCCTCATTTTCTTGTCTTCTCTCTCTCTCTCTCTTTACTTTTCCCAATTATTTTATTTCCTCAATATGTAATTTGTTTTTTTTATTACAACTATAAAATATTTAACTGAGATTAAGTATAAAATGCTACAAATATCCGAATAGTTTTTGTAAAGCTCAATTAGTTAATTACTCGTTACAAATATAATACTGGTTAATTATTATTATTTTGTTATGTGGTTAAAAAAATTAATTAACCAGTATCTTTTTGAAACCAAAAGAATTAATTTTATTATGTGGTCAACGGAAGCAGGCTAAATAGTCAACAACTGTTGTTGTTGTACTTTAAGATGTTCAGACTTCGATATGAACCTAATAGTCAACAACAACAAGAAAACGTTCATAGCATCAAAGCTATTCACAAGTTTTGGTGAAGAAAGAAAAACGAAAATGAAAATAGATGTTATGGAAAACTTAATCGATTAAAGCAAATTAAATTATGATAATACAATCTCTCTATTTTATTTTGTTGCATGGATAGTTCCTCTCCCAACTTCACATTCACAATGAATGCTTTTGATTAAAATTTGGTATGGCTCAACAACCATATACTTTGCTTGTACTACTTTCACAATTACTATATGTAACAAATTGTGTAAGGATTTTTCGTATATATGCTCATTTTTTTATAAAATCATTTTCCCTTAAGGTTTTATTACTGACAATTTTGATAGGTTCATCATATTAATAAGTTGTCCCAAAATAATGGCGGATATTGATTATTTATTTATTGCTCTTAAATTCAATGAATGCAATTTTTATGAGGGATTTTTCATATATGCATGTTGTTACAAAATGAACCAACCCCTTTGTTGTATACTCTATATAAACCAATGTCCAATTTTCAACCTAATTTTATTTTAGCTCAAATGAACAAATAGAACAAACACACAAGTTAAACATAAAGATTTGTAATGCCATATTCTATATCTCTATATTTTAGTCTGTTGTTTTACATCAAATATGTTTGTTTTACTAAAATATCGAATATGGATTGCACGCGAAACGACAGTGGTGCTAAACCAATTATCACAATCACTTTTATAACGTTAGTAAGTAAAAAAACTGTTATTTTCCTTCTTCTTTTTGTCCATATTTCTATTAGCATTTTAATTTGACAATTGCAAGTTAATACAACAATACAGTTATACACAAGCACTAAATTTGTCAAGTGACGGGTTGAAACTTTATTGGTTAACAGAACCGTATGAACATAACTGGTCATTTTCATGTATGGGCAGTGGAATGATGTTCCATTCTGTCAAATTACTATTGGGGATGACTATCGGTTTCGATCATACAATTTATTGTTTCCTATATTGTTTTCTTGATAGCTAAACATAACAGGTCTGTATGATTAAGGTTAAGAACATATACTGTATGTTTTCTATAATCCTATACTGCATGTTTCCTATACAATTTGTTGTTCATTTCGAATATGTAGAACATGCATGCTCAAGCCCTTTAACTTTTATGCAGTTGTAAAGGAGACGATATGCAAAATTAACAGCAATGTAATTATGTAAATATATATGGCTTATAGTAACAAAAGATAAAGACTAAGCTAGTTTAAATAGTTCTGCATGTTTTATATGCTTTAAAAAAAATCGGGACCAAATAAAAGAAAATCTGAAAGGGATCAGCCATAATAAATGTATCTTAAATCTCAATTAATAAAAACAATAATAGCATACCAGAAAATAGCAACAAAACCGTAGAGCCACAAACATAGATCAATATATTTCAATTCCACAAAAGAAAAATATATATGATTTTAAACTACGACAGTAATATATAGTATTTACGTATATTGTTTTATGTAGAATAAATAAGATTTTGACTAAAGATGGTCATGAGAAGAAGGATATTACGCGAACATGTTTTGTCCTGAAGATAGATATATAGTACGTATAACTTTGATAACTTTGAGGCCATTGTGTACCTTTGAATATTGAGATTTTACTGTCACGGGACCCTTATCAAAACCAAATAAATCACAGACAAATCATAGTAGTCCACCCACGTGTTTAGTCCACACTTTTATCATTCATTCCCACCGGTTCCGCTCCACAACACCGGTATATAACTAGACCATCGAATTATCGTCAGCGTCGTAGAGTTTAAGTTACACTAATACCAGATTTATGTTTAATCATTCCTTATTTTGCTTTGTCACAATGAAAGTCTTGACGGTGATTAGGTTCTGACGACGTGACGATGAAGGGTCCAGCAAAAAGCGTAACCAACCAATCACGTAAGTTGGAGACACGCCAGTTGGATTTAGTATATTTAAATAACTCTTGTCCAAACGTGTAATCTCTCTATTTCTGTCATAATGCTAATGACTAGGAATATAATATACTCAGAGATACTCAAAGTTAGTGCAACTAGTCTCTGATTAGTTGCCCATATATATTTCTTATGACAATCAGTGGTGTTTCGCATATCGATACGTAATGGTCTTCCAAGTTGGATATATAGATGAACAGAACAATGTGGACATGTCTAATCGAATTAACCGGGTTTAAACTTTAGAGATCATCTACAAATATATATAGAGAGAGATTAACTAATGCAGTACTGATCTATTAAGGGTTTATAATTGTAAATGTACTGTAATACAATATTATAAATTATAAAGTGTACATATTACTATTAGATTGGTGAAAGAGATTTTAGGAACGTTTAGCTAGGTTGGTGGATAATATACAACGTTAGGGGAACAACTCTGTAGCTACAAATTGCTAGATTTTCCATGAGAAGCACAAATTAAGAACAAATGATGGTGGGATTCAGTAGCAAAGTTCTAAGTTGTTTACTGCGTCTACAAAATAAAGACTTGCATTGATGCGCCTAGCAATAAAATAGACACAACAACATAAGAATAAATGCAAACGCATGCTTTGTAGTAGAGTATCAAAATGATGTTGAAATAAGCATAAGCAATTGAATGGTCTTAATTAATAGTCAAAGAACCAATCTACCATCAGGCTCCATCACTTCATTTCTTTGTTTATATATTCTATCAGATAATTCATAGATCAATTTTTTCTGGTTCAAATTTTCATAAATCAAATTTTCTCAGGATTTCAAGATGAAATCTAATACAAATATTTACAAGATTAATATTTTTGTAGTATATATTCATTTTTCTTGAAAAGATAATAGGAGCCTCAATGGGTGTTCCACGGGCTTAATTTCTACAATATGCTTTTTGCATATTTAAGCTTTCGACGGAGGATGCAATCATATCAATAACACTAATTGAATCCCATAAAAAGGTTGAAAAAGAAAACTTTCAACGGACATGGGATTTTGATGGGCCGTATTGGGCTGAAATTTCTATTCCATAGAATTGCAACACGAATGCTTACTGATTAAAAATAACAACCAAAAAGCTTTTTTCTCTTCACATAATCCATTCGTTATCTTTCATTCCATGTCATCACATTATCCTTGAGAGCGATTTGTAATGTCCACGTGGCAGATCTCAAGAGGACGGAAACGATTTTGTTTAACCCAAAACATCTCCAGCACCTTCATCTTTTCTTAGCCTTTCCAACATATTACAAACCAACATAACAATCAAGAACTCACTCTTTCTTGTCGGAAGAACAATAAGAAGCAAAAAAAAGAAAAATCCCCAAAATGGCGATGATGTCAGCATCTTCAGCATTTGTTTTGACGTCCAACGTCACGGCAGCCACCGGCGCTTCGTCTTCAAGGAACTCCGTGTCTTTCTTACCGATGAGAAACGCCGGTTCTAGACTCGTAGTCAGAGCAGCAGACGAGGCGGCTCCGGCAACATCTTCATCGGAAGGTGCTCCAGCAACTTCCGTGGCTCCAGCTGGAGCTACTGCCACCAAACCCAAGCCAACTCCGATCGGTCCTAAGAGAGGTTCCAAGGTCAGCTAACCTAAACCATCTTGCATCTATAATCTATTTACATGTACATACACACGGGAAAATGGTTAGTAACATGGAGAAATAACAAAATCATTATTCGATTCCATGCAGTTTACTAATTACACTGTTGTATTTGAGTCACTTTGATATTTATTATATAAGCTGTTGAGGTTTGTAGGTCAAGATCCTAAGGAGAGAATCCTACTGGTTCAAGAACGTTGGATCAGTTGTGGCTGTTGATCAGGTAAACACATTGTAATCTTTAGTTAGCGATCTAAAGTGTCACATATTAAATTTCTTACCTGGTTACAAAACGTGCAGGACCCGAAGACTAGGTACCCTGTTGTGGTCAGATTCGCGAAAGTGAATTACGCCAACATATCGACCAACAACTATGCATTGGACGAGATTGAAGAACTCAAAGCTTAAAAAAATGAGAGCTGGGAAACAATTGTGTGTGTTTGGTTTAATGTTTATACCATTCTATCTATTTGTGAACCGTATGTAACCTAAAGTTTTACCATTAGTTATTTATCGTCCATCTCGACTCGGTTTTCTATTATTCTTTTACAGCACCGGTGGGATTTATCTCTCAACTCATGGTTAACTCTTTAGAAACAAATGCTTTCGAGTTTGAAGATCACCAAATGAATACATGATATATATTATTTAATCACATGTATTATTTGGATAAGGTTTCAGTATGTTGGCAGAAAACAAAATGAGGTTCAGTGATTACAGAAAACAGTAGTTAGAACTCCTCCAAGCTCCATATGCAAAAATATCCAAAACCAGTTTCCATCATTTCATCAAGTCTGATCGGTTTTACCGTTGGCTTCAGCTAACATCAGTTCCAGTTCTCCTTTCCTGTTCAGCTTAACTGTATCTGTAGTACACAGATATGAAGAAGACAATTCAGATAATTGAGGTCAAACAGATCCCCATAAATACCAGTGATTCGCAGAGAAAGTATCCTCTTAGAATCTATGACGAAACCAACAAAGTAAAAGAGAGAAAGAGAGTACCTGTGCAGCCACCAATGTGCTTGCCTCCTGTTTATTAGGAAAAAAAAAGAGTAGACATTGTTATGTGTTGTCTCATAAACCAGAACTGTATTACTGGCCAATTCTTTAAGAGGGGTATATGGCTCCTGAGTTTTCAAGCAAAGCATTGAAGATACGTGATCAAATGCAAAGGGTTTTAAAACTACTTACCAACGAACACATTAGGAACAGTGCGTTGACCAGTAAGTTTTTCAAGTACCTTCTGCAGTTGTGTCCCTTCTGGACCTGAAAATGAGCCAGAGAAGGGATATAAAATCTGAATCAAAAAAATATCTCCATCTGAAACGGAGCCTAATACTAATGGATACTTCCAAGTTCTAACAATTAAGAAGACATGCTTCCTTCTCTTATCTAAAGCCAATGACATAAACTATTACGTTTTAATATCTATCATAATAATAAAATAAAGCTAAAGCTGACCAATTGTAAGCAAAATGTTAAGCACAATACCAAGTTTATCCAATTCAACAACCAGTGGCTGAACTCCAAGTCTCTTGAACAATGTCTTCACTTCAGAACAGTATCTTCAATACACACAAAACACCAACAGCTTTGTATATTAAAATCAAGCAAAAAGAATCATAATTTATTGTTAGCATAAACATTAAGATCTCCAATAAAATCAAACTTTACAGAGAAAAGTGATGGAGACGTGAAATACGTACGGGCACCAAGTTTTGGAGTAAACAACGACAGTGTTATCATTCACAGTTGTCTTCACGCTCTCCTCCATTCCCGATCCGAATGAAGAAGAAGAAGACATGGCTCGAACAGAACATGTCTGCTTTAGACATCTCTTTAAAGGAGATCCGACAGAGTTTCTGATACCTCCGCTTATCAGAGACACCGAATAAGAAGTTGAAGAGGAGATTGAAGGAAACGAATCTCGAGGCGACGATGTAAGTTTCAGTGTGTTGAATGCTGTGACTGCCATGGCGATTGGATTCTCTGACAGATTCTTGGAGCTTATCGTTGCGTGGTACTTGTTGTCTCTCCTTTGTCTTGTCTTTTTTTCCTGCGAAACTTATTACGGTCATACTCAATGGGCCTTATTATATTTAATGGGCTTTACTTTTGTTCAATTTTGCTTTGTTTATTTCATGGTTCTATACACTAATGGGCCTTATAGCCTTTATACATACCAGCGAACTATATAAGCACACTTCCTAAGAAAATTCTAAATTTGCTTTTATTTATTTATTGGGGTTTTATCCTAAGAATATACTAAAAATCTTATTTTTTGTACTTATTTTATAATAATTTGAAGGTGTATACGTTGTATTTTTATATAATCTAACAAAAACTTAGTCATAAAAAAAATATTTTTAAGAGTATGTTTCGATGAACGTTTATGAAAAAATATTAAATTAAACGTCTATGTGTGTGTAGCCATTCAAACATCATTGACACTGAACCTGTAATGTTTTGGCAAGGCAGAAAATCAGATGATTATTTCTTGTTGTTCTTTCCATCAGATTCTTGTAAATTTTACATTGCGAATACAATCTTCACCAAGTTCTTTTGGCAAGTTTTATAGCATATATGTTAATCCACGTGTGTGTTTTGGCTCAATTCAATTATATTATGATCAAGAGTGTAAACTCTTTATAATCACTTGTTCATATCTACTGACTATTGTATGTGATCTCTGCATGCATGTGGTCCTTTTGATCATTTGGACTTTGGCTAGGATGCTTTATATATATGGTGAAATTTGCCAAAAGAAAAGAAAAAATCTTTACCAGAAAATATGTTCACCACCACCACAACGTTTTGGCGAAACTCAACTATTCCAAAAGCTTTGTCGTTTACAAAAAGATGCCATAACAAAAAAAAAAAATCGTGAGAAAGTTGTGATTTTAAAGAAACAACTCATCTATGGACCTACCTTGATAAGCTCATGTGGGGACTTTTGACTAGTTGTAATGTCATGGGTTCGAATTATTTCATTGTTTCTCAATTTGTTATTTGTCTATATCCCACCAACATCTTCTTCATTCATTTATATCTCAAATCTTTGTTCTACTGACATGCTTCTACATATATATAGTATATATGAACACATATTTGATATGTACTTGATGTATTAAATATTATGTATATGCACACACACACACAAATAACCCACGTTAGTTATCAACAATTGTATTATAAAATTGGCAAGTATCCTCTTTTGTTCAAGTTCCTTGTGTTGTCCGCGTCCATCCATGTGTATATATGTATTATGTATCTTCAAGATTGGCTCAAATGAAATAACATTAAAAATTCAGGTATATATTAATTTTAGGTATTTAAATTATTGCATATATAGTTTAAGACGCCTTATATAACACTTTAGGTGTTGACTAAAACATGCATATGTATTCTAGATTGAAAACTTGTGCGACCTGATTTTCTATTTTGGAATTTTATCGGAAAGAACCGAAATGAATCTCGAGCCGGATCGGAACCAAAATGCTCACACAAACACAATATAAATATAATGTGTGTGGGGTTGCAGGTACATGAAAAAGTGATTTAGAGACATGGGTGCAATAATGTTCCATTCGAGAATTACCCATATCCCTATGATTAAATCCATGTACGTTTGAATTATTACTCTTCACGTACCTGTTTAGAGTAAGGAACTAAAATCTGAGAAACTATATGTATATATCAACGTAGACAAAATTATAAGAAAATCCCCTTGATGATTTGTTTTGTTACTTGTTAGCGAAGTCGTACTTACTCGTATAAGCATGGCCTGTGGTAATATGAAGTGCTTGTTGGTTTCTTCTTTCTTGTAAGGGAAAATCTTTATTTTTCGAAAGAGGTAGTTCATCTAACAGACATAGGCATGTGAGAGGAACAAACCCTAGGTTTTGCAGACTTTGGTAATTTGGATGATGGACAATATGGGCCCTTGAACATGAGTGTTTTCTCCGTTGGAGAATTTGTGACCATTCCCATGTGTTACCCTTTTACTCTGTCATTTGATATCTTCAAATAAATTCTCACCACATATTGACCCATTTATACCTAACTTGCATATTCGAACCATATTTAGAAGTGACAATTAATGTCTAAACCCAATGTGTTTGTATCCAGTTATACAAACAGTTTTTTTTTTTTTGATCCAAAGGTAATCTGTCCCCTAAAAATCTCAGTCAGTAGTTTAAATTTTCAGATGAGATGTAGTGAGTTTTTTTTTGGTTAATTCAATAGTCAAACTAAACCAAAATATATCCGAACATGCTAAGGATACGTCGAAAATGTCAAGTTGATATGATTTATGACAACTTTAAACTAAAGTCGTATAAAATCTTATTACGCAATATTGAAAAAAAAAGAGTAAATGACATTGAATGTAAATCGACGCATATCTACCTATATGTGATAGATCCCTAGCTAGCTAAGTCTCCATAACCAGGATATATTATATAACTAGATTCTAAGATAATGTCCTATCTAGCTAGGGTTTTTGCTAATGTAACGAAAATTGATTGAGGAATATTATGTGTGAATGTGAGGTGACAAGTGACGAATATGGCAAAGACAAAGAAGAAAGCAAAAAGAGTAATGGCCACTCGATGTGAACATTTCCGTGTAGTTTCTAAATAGGTAACATGAGGTGAGGGTACATGCGAGGCTAGATGATGATCACTCCTGGCTCCATGGACTTTGAAATAGACTTCACGTACATGCGTTATAATATATGATAAATATGATAATGTATATAGTCATAATCATCAGCATTCCTACTTTCCAAGATAATATAGGCATATCTAGTTCAAGTATTTTGGTGGAACTTCAAATTTACTACTTATGGGGCTAGATTCCCTTTTTGTATAATCGATATATTGCCAGTAAAATATGATTTTGACTTCCATTTGAAAAATGATACAGTACCAAGGTATGAACAAAATTTGTATGAGGTTTTACGAATAAAAGAAAAATACGAATTATCTTTGTTATCCATCAAAGAGAATGATTCCGTAATACAAAAAGATAACATATACTTTTTAAAAAGGATAACATATATCAGAAAGAAAATGTACTAAAAGACTGAAATGCAATTATTATAAACTCCACATATCGATAATAATACTAATAATAATAGGAATAAAGAAAACAAATGTACAAATGATGTGGTCGAAATTGGTTTGAAGTCTTGAACTGATTGGTTCATCCTTTGACGTTGGACATAGCCCGATCTACATCTGATGTGACATTGTAAGATCTCTTTTATTAGTAATGGATCTAACTAAAATTTGGACCCAACACATGTGGGTTTTAATGTCATCAGAAATTATATTCACTTTTTTCTTTTGTTTTTATTTCCTAAGAAATTCTTCAACATATAATTTGAAACTGTTTTTTTTTTTAAGATTACGGAACTTCCGAGCTTCCGAATTTTGGCCAAATGAATTCTTTAATTTACACTCTTGCCCGAAAACTGTGTTATATATATATATATGTTATATATATATATATATATTCAAAATATCAAAATATTTTTTTTAAAGAAAAAGTGTAGCACCTCACCTTGAATATGTGATTTGTGTATACTTACGACTTAATTTAAGTAAAACAAATATACAGTAACTATTACATGACACAAATAGTAAATACCAATCTTATGTCAAGTATCAATTTTTAACCCAAATTAGCTGATAATAAGTAGCATGCATTGATCAAAATAAATGAGTGGTATTATATACACGTATACTAAGTTCTGGTATCATCTAGGTATTAAAATCAGGTTAGTTAACGTATATACAAATTTCATACACATATTTATTAATTAGCCAGTGGTTATAGTTAAGCTAGTCTGCTGTAATATTGGTCAACGTTGGACATTGTTTTCTATGTTCAGAGGGCTATTTAAATAAATTACATAGTTTTTTGGGAGGGTCAAATTAACTTCGGTTGCAGAAAAACTTAGTTACATACTTAAAAGAATGTACATATTTTCTTTCCGTGCAAAGCGAAAATCGATGCATGAACCACGACATTATATGTTCTGTTAATTAGGTTTAATAACCTAATTAATGAATTCCAACCCACGTAAAATACCTTGCTATCACATGGATGTGAAAATAGTAATTTTTAGTCAATTTATATATTCAAAGGGCTAAAAAATTGAAGAGTTTTCTGCCCCTTGGCTGTATAATAGGCCCATGAGTTTAGTCAAGCAACTGTGCACATTTAATCAAAGTATTTAGCAAATGCTGGGACGGCAGACTCACCAGTGTCATCTGCCTATCCTATGGAGACGCGATACACCGTTGGTTCATTCGGTCAACACCGACTCTTTCATATCACTCATCCATTATGATTTGTTTCTATACTTTGATTCTAACCTTTCTTTGTAAATAAATTTCTCAATTTTTTTTCTAAAATGTAAATTTAAAATTATTGCAATTTTAGTTCTTCAGATTTGACGTGAAATCCTGCATTTCTTTAATCAGTCAAGGGAGTTTGTTCACTACCGAATAAATGGAATGCCTAAACCCCTTTCTTGACAGATGAAAAGTAAGATAGCTTGACATAACAATAGAAAAGACGGTAAGCTGAAATTAAAACACTCTTCACTTTGTAAATATTAGAAAATTGTATACAATATAGATGTCAAAACTATGCAAATTAGGAAAACAAACAAATCAAATAACCCTCCCAAAAAGTTAAAACTGTAAAATGTAAAAAAAAAACACAAAAGGCCACATCATCCCTCTGTTTACACAAAACGCCCAAAACAACAAGTGGAGGAGGTAACACAAAAACAAACACACACAACACCCTTTGGGTCTTCTTCAGGAGATGGCTCTCTTCTTTGCTTCTCTAAGATGTAATCTATCTCTGTCCTAAAACTCTAACCCTCCTCCTAAAAATTAGAATTGTTGAGAGATACATCTTCGGAGAGTAGCCGTTGATCGTTTTGTGGGTTGCTTTGTTTCGAGTTTCCAAACAGAGCCTATATCTTGTGCAATATTAACCGCGTCCATAGACGCACCAGAGAGCCCTCTCCTAGTAAACCCAACCGCATACAACCCGGTCCTTCCCTTCCAACCGCTGTTTCCAATCGCTGTTTTAGGGAAACCATTCTTTGCAAAGAACTCACTCTCCTATAACAAACAATCACAAAACACAATCAGTACATATGAAAAAAGAGACTAACCCGGTTTGGTTCAACCAAACTTAACCAAGTTATTAAACTTTTAAATTTGTTTTGTTTTCTCACCTGTAACCAATAAGGGACGTTGCTACGATAACCAGTAGCGAGCACAACCGCTTCCACATCGAGTAGCTCTCCATTAACGAATTCAACTCTGTTTCCATTAAACCTTTTGACTCCTGGAACCACATCAATCTTTCCCGACCGGATCTTCTCTAAAGCACCGATGTCAAGAACCGGCGTCTTCCCTTTCGCGCTCTTCAGCTCCATCGGACCCATCTCGGGTCGTTTCAAACCGTATCTCTCAATATTTCCAAGCACCAACCAACACAACACCAACAATATCTTGTCCACTAGCCATAAAGGAAACCACTTCAGCATCTTCATTGCAAGCTCAAAAGTAGACTTCCCCATTATTTCTCTCGGCATCACATGAACCTAATAAAAAAAAAAAAACTTTGATCAGATTTTAATTCTAAAAAATCATATTTTTATTATTAAAAAAAGTTTTTGATTTTTTTTTTTAAAATGACTTACGGAGCTTCTAACGACCATAGAAGGCTTAGCGAGATGATTAGCTAAATCAAGAGAAACCTCCATCCCGGAGTTTCCACAACCAACGACCAACACTTTCTTCCCGGCGAACTTCTCGCCGGACTTATAATCACAAGCGTGAACCACCTCTCCGGTAAACTCAGAAAGACCTTCAATCTCCGGCATCACCCTCTCCGCATTCTCTCCCGTAGCCACCACAAGCCACCGGCAAATATACTCAACCTCCGTCCGAGTCGACTCGGCGTCCGACACGGTCTTGACTCGCCACAGCCCGCTCGTCTCATCGAACCGAGCCGTCTGCACGCACTCGTTGAACTTAGGGTTTATCTCGAAACGTGAGGCGTAAGACTCGAGATAGTCTATGAACTGTCGTTTCGTAGGGTACTCAGGGAAGCTCTCCGGGAAGGGCATTTTCGGTAATTGGCAGAACTGTTTGGGGAGGTGAAGCTTGAGACGATCGTACGTTCTTTTTTGCCATAGGGAAGCGATGCAATCTGCTCTCTCGAGAACAACGAAAGGAACGTTTTGTTCCTTGAGACAAGCGGCTGTTGCTAAACCGGACGGTCCTGCTCCGACGATAACCGGTCCGTTGACCCAAATGCACCGGTTATTTGTTACTTCTTGATCATGATCTATCAAACGAAACATATTCTCCATTTTTTTTTCCTTTTAAAATTTTCTTTTTAACGAGTTTTGGAAAGTTGAAGGTTTGTAGAAGGAGATAGAAAGCAATGAAGGTTATATAGAAATGGTTTTGAACTTGGAATGAAGATAGTGTTTCGAGGTTATGATGCTTATATAGAGAGAAGATACCATGTGGCGTTGAATATTTTTCCCAAGACGATATTTATTTTATTACTATAATAATCATATGATAATATGATGAGCTTCTCGTATTTTATTTTTAACTAATAATAATAAGTTAATAACAGACTATTTGTGATTGGTTAGAGTTGAAGTACATTGATTATGATTTTTTTTAATAATAAATTAAGTAGCTAATGGTGTGTGACGGTTGTGCACTTGTAATAAACAGTGGTAATGCTTGAGGACGAAGTAATATTTCTACCGACCATTTTTATGCGTTACTTCTTACATATGTGTTAATGAAGATAAAGTGATAAACTAGTTAATTATAATTAACATTGGCCTAATGAAGTAACTTATATGGTGGTAAGATGTTGAATAGAAATGGAAGTGATGGAATTAGGGAGCAACGATGGTGACACATCTTTGATTGGAACTGATTCTTGTGGGACCCGTAAGAGGAAGCCACGTGAGGAAGTAGATGATGACGTGGACTAGACAGCCACGTGGAGAGGATGAGGAGCCTAGCTGTTTGGTATGTGGAACCAAACGACTAAAACCACATCAAGCCCATTCCCTGCCATTAAGCTTCTCCACTATTATTATTTACTTGGTCCCTCCATCTCCACAGTTTTCATTTTTCTTAAAACATGAAAACTATAATTTTAAATATATTTAATTTAATTTAATTTAATGTCTGGAAACATACATAGTAGATAATACTGATATTTTTTGCAATACGCATGTACGGAAAATGTGATTATAAGATCATATCAATACATTTTCTGCTTATAATATAAAATCCGAATTAAAGATTAGGTGTATTATTACAGAAGTTAGACTATCCACATAGGTTCTTAGAAATTTCTCAAAACTAATATAGTAATAAATATTATCTGAGTACATCTGAAAACATTTTTATGTAATTACAACATATTTTCAAAACAGGATCTGTAGTGAAGCTGGAGTTCTAGAGAAATAAGTACAAAGTTGTTACACTGTTTCATTTTTAAAATAATCAATTTTTATTTCATTACATAATGAAAAGATAACGTGGACCTCAATTTTTAACTCTGTTGAAGATGTTATTAAAAAGGTATTTTTATTTTTGTGAGGCATTAAAAGAGGTAAATTTCAGAGAGCAAAATCTTAAATACCTATACATATTTTCTAAGGTTTATCAGCAAACTATATAAATGTCGACATCTCTAAACTTTTGTATGATTTTCATATTAAAATTAATTAGGCAATAGATCCATCAAAATAAAATAGAGATAATTGGCTAAAGTGCCCTATTTGACACCTATAATTAGAGAATTGCCCATGATGTGACAATCACTTTTCTTTGGACCATTTTGCCCTTTTCTACACTCTCTCTCCTCTCTTTGACATCTCTCCTCTTTTTTTTTTTCTCTTCAATCCCTAATTATTTTACAAATCTCTATCATTCTATATATAATTAAATTTTAAATTTCATTATTTTTTCATAAGTGGCTTTGAATCCTCCATTTTGACCTTTTTTTCTCTCCAATCCCTAATTATTTTACAAATCTCTATCATTCTATATACAATTAAATTTTAAATTTCATTATTTTTTTCATAAGTGGCTTTGAATCCTCAATTTTTTGATGATATCAATTTTCTGGGTTTTAGATTCAACGTCGTGTTAGCGGTTAACAAATATTGTAGACGTTAACAGAAGTGTTAGGTGTTAACAATTATTTTTACGCTTCTCGTTAATAAATGTGTTCGCTGTTAACACATATTGTAGACGTTAACAGAAGTGTTAAGTGTTAACAATTATTTTTACGCTTCGCGGTAATAAATGTGTTGACTGTTAACAAATATTGTAGACGTTAACAGAAGTGTTATATGTTAACAAATGTTTTTACGCTTCGTGTTAATGAGAGGAAAGAGAAAGGGTATTCTCGGCATTTCTTTACCAAATGATTGTGTCAGTGTCCTTCATGTCCAATCAATGGTATTTTGTTAATTTAAGCTTCAAATATGGGTAATTCACTAAATCACTCAATAAAATATGTGATGGGTTAAGGAAGGCACAATTAACTTTAATAAAGCAGGAATAACACGATTTAGCTTTTGTAACTAGCTAACCTATGCTAGGCTAGCCAAGTGATGGTGACTAACTTAGTTGCAATGATAAGATCTTTTTTCTCTTCATTGGAACTTGAAATCACAATTGTAAAGTGCGTTTAACAAAGTACACCAAAAAAAGGCACTCGTATGGGTGGCTATGAGTTAAGTTTTTGAGTTTGTCAAACGAAAAAGCTATTTGCATTTAAAAAATATTGGATCCCACCAAAACCCACTAGATGGGATTGTGGAAGGAAAAAACCTAAAATTAGAGATGTAAAGCCATGTGCACGGAACCTTGGTTTCCATAGAGCTTTCTCTTCTTTTCATGTCACAACATTTTGGAAGCTTTGAGTTTGGCATATCTATATATACTGATATACATACGCATATCGGCATATACAAAATAACGGATATGCACGCATTTTAATGGTATTTACTTCAGCATGTTAAAACAGTGTTATTTCATCGATGTCGGATTGAATTTTAAATATCGTCTGGAAAAGAGATTCACTCTAGTTAAACTGATCCTGATCCTTGGTTCGAAAGGACTAATATATACATAGTACTTCACGGTTTAAACAATGCATTCACCTTTTCTATAAAGAATATTAAGCAGTTTGGGATATGGGTCACTGGAAAAGCTTATTAGGTATGAATCAATGAATTATTATCGTGCATGAGTCACGACCACTTAGATAAAAGAAACGTACCAAACACTTTTATTGTTATTACACTATTAATGTGTTAATTCGATATTAACCACTTATTCAGAAAGCCTTTATTATTTATGTGATAGAGAGGGCGAAAGAGTGTTTCTCTCACGAATGTCGATCCCTTTATTGTACGATTTTTTGTATACTTATTTTTGGTTTTTGTCGTTGGATGTTTGCAATGACTTCGCTGTAAAAGAAAAGGAAGTCAGGCATGCAATAGTATATATGTCTACTATTGTAAAGAATAAAGAAATACGTTATACTTTGCATTCAGCCTTTATAGGTTTGTTGTAAAACATAATTTCTCCATTTTTGAAAGACCTCTCTCTCTCTCTCACTTATGAAGGAGTCTTGCTCTTATTTTGTTATACGATATCTTTAAGTCTTTGAAAAATATTTAATAATGTTTGTACATATATATCCACAGTCATAAATCATTTCTCCCCACCCCCACCCCCAAGTGTAGTTACCTAAAACTTGAATTAAGTTATATTACCATTGTGATATCACTGATCAAGAACTTAAATTACTATGTAATTAGCAATCATGTTCAAATGAAGTAAAAATGAGATATAATGGTTTGTTTCATGCATTTTTAAAAATTTATAGTCCCTTGATAGTGGAGGACGCGCGTGATCAGAAGAAAATCGAATGAATGATTTATAAGAAGTTTCAACAAAATTCGTAGCAAGTGACTTAGGGCTATATGTGCTTAAACATAAATTAAAGAATTAAAGTGAGTTGATTATAAGTATCTGAAAGTACTAAAGTAAACAAAATAAAAAGGATAACCGATTAAATGGTCACGCGTAAAGAAAAAAAGGAAAAATGATCATTTGGGATTCGAAGGCAATTAGGCGTAAAGTGCAAATTGCAGCTCATTCGCCGCAGAAAGATTTAATTTTACTTAATTAGTTGTAATCATAAAAAGATATACTATTCATTATATAACTATATACATTGCTTCGTTTCCTACAAATGGCGGTGCACTTCTATAAAGTATTACAATATTATGGTATAACCTTTACGGTTGGTACGTATTAAGTTATTCCAGTATACTCTTTAAAAAGTATATACTCTTCTTTTGGATTTTGAAGTTGTCTTTTATTCAGTTTATTCCATATTATAACAATATATATACTCCACTTACATAACAAATTTCATATCAAAAGTTTACATTCATGTTTATAATCACATCTCTTATTACATAACACAAAATTACATACAAAATTACAGCCATGTCTGTTTTTGTTATTAATTTTTTAGATGGATTTAATTATTTAGAATTCTCAGTAATATTTAGGAAAAAATAAACACAAATCAGCTCAACAATATAAAACAGTACGCATGGAATATTTACAGTCACATATAGATTTAAGCTAAACTATAACCAAAACCAAATAGTCATACATATTTTTTTGTCATACATATATAAAATCTTAATGGAAAACAAAGTTTTTATACTAAAATAGAAATATCAGAACTTTCGAATGTTTAACATTTGTGTATTCTGTCAGCAATATCAAATAATACGGAATACTCAGAGAATGATTGTAAAGAGAAGCCATTCCCGAGATTAGTTCAGCTTTTCCTGATTATCAACTGATTTATGCAATGATGAAGGAGCTCTTTTGCGGGAAAATAAAAAGAATATTTTTGTTTATTGGTATTTCATTTATTTCTTTTTACTTATTTGATCAATCAAGCGATATACTTTTCTTTAAAACAATTAGCAACTGTATGTTCATTAGACCGCATTAAGTAAGTTCTTTGGAATCGTCTTTGGAATAATATATTCGATGGTTGTGATTGGTCATGTGTAAAGCGTACTACAGAATACTGAAGATTTTGCTCTTTCACAAGTTTTATTATCACAAGATTTTGCACAATCACGATGTTCAATACGCATTTTCCTGCAAATATAGTGACAGCTATAAATATGAAAATCCTCCATCCGTAAAGAGGGTCACTGTAGTTACACTTATTTAATGAATATATAATATTTTAAGATAAATAAATTTAGAAGATGAATGTATCTATAATTAATAAAATGTGTATGTGATTAATAAATATTAATGCATTTATAATTAATAAAATATGTATGTAACTAACAAA